TGTTTTGAACCCGTCAACGGATGTTGCTGGTAGACCCGTGTCAACGGTACTTTTCGGAACCGTTGCAGATGTCAAGGGTTGTTGGCATCTTGGTAAACCTATGATGCCTTGCATCTGCATCTCCACCATTTTCCAGGTAGCCTGCAGGAGTCATACAAAAAGTTGATAAACTTACTCATCATAGCTTCTCCACTAGTTTTAGTGAAACAAGTTTCTTCCCGAGGGTTGCATTGGGGTCTGTAAGTAAAAGTGTGTTTGCCGCGAACTCATGATTTGCAAATTAGATTGTCCGGCTGACTTCGCTTTCACTGCGGACATAACACGTGACCTAGAGTCTGAAGTCAGTATTATGGTTCGGAGAACTTGCGACATCGGTGTATTGCTAACAGCTTCCGTTGTTCGCCTCCTAGAGTTTAAGGTGCATGATGAACTAATACTTACACGTTCAGTGTATTCATCAACTTCCAGTAGTCAGGGTTGCTGAATTTGAAGTTTGGATGCTGTTTAATTGAAGAAGAGTATTCTTCAAATATAAAGTTTTCTGAAGTCATAGTTTGTCTACAGAATGTCGATGGCAAATTCAGTTTTAAAGGAAATATCTCTTCTTTGATACTTTCGGCATAGGTGCTGTGCTAGTGGGAGCAAAAGATACATATGTAGTTTCAGCCAGGGTTTGTTCCTTTAAAACATTTTTATAATATTCAAGGCAACATTTAGAGCTGAGTCTTTTTTCTACAACAAGAAATAAAACAAAGTAGCAGACAGAGAAAAGAAGCGAGAATCCCAGCAAGGAGTATGTTTCCTATATGCATGTTTCTCCTTGCTTAACTGTCTTTGCTATGACGTTAATTGTACATGCTTTGTTTATTAAGCACTTAAGAACACAACTCATGTTTTTAAATAGTTTAGAACCTTTTATCTATGTTTGCTATGATGTGAGGAATTAGTGTTTAGGAATGAAAATTTGTGAGTCTCCTCAACGTTAGGGAATGAGGTCTCTCAATAGGTCCCTTGTTCACATACATCTGTACATTAAGGCTTGTTAGTTGTACTATGGATTCTATATGCTTTTTATTTAAACTTATTCAACTGCTAAAGAGGTTATCAAGAAGCTTTAACTTCTTCAAACGTTTAAAGAAGCTAGTTTTGCTAAGTCACTAAGTGCGCCCTCTTTTATCTGGAAAACAATGTTGAGTAGATTTAGTAGCTACTGCGAACGCTCAACCATCCAGACATTTAGGAGACCTGGTATGACTAAATGGTCTTTAATAAAAGAGGGCGCACTTAGTGACTTGGCAAAACTAGCCTCTAAACGTTTGAAGAAGTTAAAGCTTCCTGATGACCTCTATAGTAGTTGACATCAGAAGCCAATAATACAGATCGCAGATCATAAAATTTTCAACATCACATAAAGAAGGTTTACTTCCAACATACATTCTTTTCAGTAATCCTTTGGGTAAACTTTAGGCCGTGTGAAATGCTATTGTCTGAAAACTACACCGTGAAACTGATAACCGGTGAAATTTGGCGGATAGTGTAAATAAGCACATGGTCCTTGAAAACTATCTAATTCCTCACATACTTGATTTTATGAACTGCATGATAAAGGTAAATATTTTTTCTAAGATTGACTTCGTACGAGCTTACTACCATATTACTGAGGAACCCAATGGTGTCCTTAAAACGGTGATCACTACTGATTTCGGATTACTCGAATTTATTCGTATGTCATTTGGTCTGACAAATGCTGCTCAAACATTCTAAAGATTTATAGATCAGGTACTTCATTTTTTACCTTTCGTCAATGCATACATAAACAACTTACTAGTAGCTAGCGTATCTGAGACAGAACACCGGCAGCGTCTAAGGACGCTGCTCGAGCGATTACGTGGATATGATATTGCAATCAATCCGCGGAAGTGAGAATTCGACAAAGAATCCCTACAGTTTTTGGGTCACATTGTTAGTGCCGGGGGTGTTAAACCAGTTCCGCAAGAAGTAGGTGAAATTAAAAGGTTAACCTGTTCCATACTGGTTTCAAAAGCTGCGAAGATTCCTTGGGTTAACAAACTTCTATCGACGTTTCCTACCTAACTGTGCTGAAGTAGTCCAACCGCTGACAAATTTATTGCAAAGATGAGCTAAAGTATTTCACATGACCCAAGCGGGTGATGATGCTTTTGGCAAACTGAGGCTTGTTCTAAGTTCTGAAACTCATCTCTCTCCTCGTGATTCAGAAGCAGCACTAGCAACCATGACATGCTTTGAATGTTGCTGTAGGCGCAGTACTACGACAGTTTGTCCATGGTCAGTGGGAACCATAATCTTTCTTTTCGAAACGGCTTAATGCTTCTCAATCACAACACAGTACATTCAGCAAAGAGTGATTGGTGATTTACTTGGCTATTAAGCGTTTCAGATATATGCTCAAAGTATATGCTTTTGCAGTATTCACCTACCATAAGCCACTCACAAAAGCAATTGATACAAAGCACGACAACTATTCGCCACTAGAAGTCCGGCATTGGATTTATTCCACAAATTACTTCACACATAAGGTATGTCAAAGAAAACAAAAATTTAGGCAGCTGATGCTTTGTCTCGTATGCACGTAAACGAAAAATCTATCTAGCAGAAATGGGAAAGTTGCATGCGACGGATGAGGACCTAAAACACTTGAAAGGCAATGTGAATACCTCATTGCGTCTAGAAAAAGTGATGCTCAGTGACTCTCTATTCATCATCTGTGATGAATTCAAGAGTAAACCACTTCCGTTTGCGCCTTTATCAATGAAACGATTAGTCTTCTCTAAGATAGATGGCATCTCACATCCCTGTATTCAAGCTACGAAGAAGTGATTTACTGACCGATACGTCTGGCCAAATATTAATCGAGATCTTCGATATTAGTTCAGAGCTTGTTTAGTGCGCCAGAGATTAAAAGTGCAGGGACATATTCTTTCGCCTATTGGAAGATTTTCCGCACCAGATGGTAAATTTGATCATATACTTGTTGACGTCGTTGAACCTTTACCTCCGTCAAATGGTTTCAGTTACAATTTAACGTGTGTAAACATATTCACGAGATGGCCAGTGGCAATACCTCTGCATGATATATATCTGCCGAAATAGTAGCAAAAAACATCATTCAACAGTGGATTTCTAACTTTGATGTCTGAGGTGTCATCATTACAGACAGAAGTAAGCAGTTCGAGGGTTGCCTATTTCGACAATTAACCGAACTTCTCGGGATCAAGCGCGTAAGAACCACTGAGTACCACCCTGCATCCAATGGTATTTTTGAAAGGTTCCATCGACAACTAAAAACAGCACTGATTGCAGTAAAGACTGACGACAAGTAGAGTGACAAATTACCACAAGTTCTCTTTGGCATACATTCGAGTGTCAAGTAGGACATTGGCTACTGTACTGTCAAGTTAGTTTATGAGACTACCTTACGGTTGCCAGAAGAATTTTTTAACCAAGTAGCAGACATTCCACAGGACTTAGCTGATTGTGTGCAATAACTGCTGCACCATATGAGTACACTACAACCTCAGTCCCCACACTACCGAGACAACCAAGTGTACGTGCCTCATTGCGTCTCACACTGCACTTACTTTTTTATCCAATACGATGGCGTACGAAAACCCTTGCAACCGCAGCACGAAAGGCCTTTCAAATTAATTAATAAATCAGACACAGTTGTCACAGTCGAACGCTATGACAGACGAGAAACAGTCAGCATTGACAGAATCAATCCATCGTTTATGGAACCAGACATCACGGATTCCAGGTCTGAATTTACAGTAAAGCAACCAGAAACATCGAAAACCGCCATCAAAACGGAAATAACGGCGTTTGAATCGCCCACAACTAGCGATGGTAGCAGAACCACAAGGTTCGGAAGAAGAGTCCATCAGCCATAGCGTTACTTTCAGATAATTTACTTTAAATAAAACCAAACTGCTAGTAACCGTATTACTGTTTTTGTTCATTACCGCGTTGAAAACACAATCACATATCTACAATTCTATCAGACTTTTCCACACAAAAAACATTTTCGTCTGGTCCCAAGGACTACCGAATCTTTTCTTTTATTAGCAAACTAGTGATTCCCCACAATTTTCAGGGTATAACCTCCCGACTTATTATTACTTTGGTAAAGTTATTTTAGTATTTCGATTATCATACACTTCATTTCCGTATAAATACTCTTCCAATCAGTCTGCATCCTGATAATAGATATTCTTAAGCTTCCCTCTATGCTTTAAATGTCTTCAAAATAAATATACCTTTATCAGATAATACATTATATCAAACACAGATATCCCTTCCTATATTTGTATTCTGGGGAGGGACTTGTGTAGCATTTATTTCCTATCATTTTGTTGATATATTTAACACCTCATAATGAAATACTTGTTTAATTATACTGATTTCAAAATGTTTGTCGTCTCGTTTGTGAATACAACATTCTTTTTTACACCTCGCGTTATCTCCTCATATTTACACTGTCTGAAGCATGTGGTTCAGATGTGTCGGGGATAAAAAAGGCGATAGTGTATCGGGAAGCGTACATAAATTTGGAGTCATATATCAGGGCTTGACAACAGCAATAACTATGAAGCCACTGATGATACGTTCTCAGGAGTTATTCTAACGCAATCTTGACCCAGATCGATCACAAACTCCTTCCATAAGTTCAATAACCACTGGTGTTAGACCGAAAACTAAACAATACTGTAACCATATAGGAATAGTGGTATTTGGTAGTATGATAAGCAATAAGTAAAAGAAGGAATTCAAATGAATTTTCTCAATTGTCCTACAATACAGTAACATCTCCATCGTAGGCTATTCAAGCAATGAATTAGTTCATCTAGAGGGACTCAAGTATTCAAAGTTACTTCCTACTAGGCGACAAGACCACTTCGGTCACATATAAGCCAAATTAGAGCTCATGGGCAACTGAAGCTAGCCATCCAATTCTGAACTACTCAGTGACACAGAATTCCAGAAACTACAAATCTGTTCTCCATCCTTACCGTTAACACACGAGAATTATGCTGGAATATCGAAAATAGTAACTGAATTCCTGAATAAATAAAAAGTCTGCTACTCAAGTGTAAAATTGGGTCGGGCGTCCCAATCAATTTATGATTTTGTTCTGGACTATTTCGTTTAGGGTGCATTTCGAACATTGCTTACTCAGTTTCCATTTCTATCATGCAAAATGTCATGTCTTCTCATGAGGCATAACTATTACTACTTGTTGTCTCATATAATTTGTGTGAGTATATTCTTTATGACTGCCAAGCCATTAGCTCATTCTTCTCTCTTCCTGCTCACTCTTTCAACTTCTGATACTGGCTCAGTCAACCACCATCACCACAAAACTTATGCATGCTTATTGGTCAGCTCTTCTGTAGCAAAATACCAACAGGCTAGACGGGAATCTACCAAGATTTAGTTTCCTGTATACTTATGATCCTACTAATCATTTTAACTGTTTGTTTTAGTTAATCGTCTACCCTTTTTTAATTTTTATTCGGTCCAGTTAGATTCAAATCTAACACTGTGTCATTGTGTTGCGTGTTACAAGAGTGGCCAAATACAAAGTAGCAGTATCTTTACATCAAAAATGACGGTGGTGTATGTGGGTAGTGATATTTTGAAAGAGAGTAAGTTAAAACCTCATCAGTGATTCAGTAATACCAAAATGCCTATGATTTTCGTATCAATATTTACAACTCATATGTATCCTGGACAAGATTTGGCAGGACAGTTTCATAAGTCTCGCTGGGGTTTGTACAAATGTAACTTAAATCTAATATGTACAATATAATGTACATTTATTCTGGCGTTTACTTCACTATCATATAGTCTACCTGCTACTGAAGTAATTTTTGAAGACTTACAGCTTATATACTGTAAGAATTACTCCTTCTTGAGCGCTTGAAATTTTGAAATATGTTCTCATCTTGGGCCACCATCACCACCATAAATGACGTGAACATAACAATTTTTATATTAAGTAGCCCAGTCATTATGTCAGTGAGTAAGTCGTTAAGATTTCAAAAAATAATTTATCAAAGGTAGTTTAAAATGGCACTGACATCTGAGCATCTTAAAGTTCCTTATGACATCAGAAAATGAGGATATAACATATTTTAGTTAATCAGTGAGTGGTATCTGTTTTAACCCTCTAAATTTGATCCTTGAAGTACATTCCAGTCAGAAAATGCCATCAGGAACATAATAAAGTTAATTTATGGCTTACTAACAAGCACAAGACCTAGTTTTAGGGCTTCTTAATGTCTTACTTTGAACAATAAACATACAAAAATGTCATCACGGACTGATATCAGTTGGAGAATCATTGGTGATAATTGCGTTATATCACGAACTGACAGAAGTAATAAGCTGTTAATTATTGAACTCTGACCTAGTAACTAAATGACTGACGCGTTCTCAGTGAAACCTGAAGGTTCTGAGTTTGATCGGTAGTTGAGTTGTGGTTATGCACTGTTAAGGAGTATCATGTCAAGACGAAACAGCTGTCTAGTGCTCCTCGGTTTTCAATGATTCTCCAGCTGACCCCAGTTCATGATAAATACTGGTGTAGCGTCACACACTTCCCCAAAATCAATAGCCTAGGGTTCGACGACTTTCGACATTGATGCTGACCTTGATAGTTTAACTGGACTCGCTAAGCTGAAGGCACCCGGTCAAGAATCTTCGCCATTTGGTACGCTGTCGTGTTACGTTGCACTGCTCGTATTCGACTTTCTAGCCAGTTAGTTGGAACGCATTGGTATCTTGGCACAACTACACAAATATACTATTCCATTCGACTACGCTATCGTGTTCTTCCTTTGTCTCGTATTCGTAGGTATATAACAAGTCCGAATAATTAGTGATTGGTCTTTTCATCTGTTAAGACCGCACCAGGACAATTCCTAAACTGGTATAAAAATAAAATCCTCATTATTTCAAAATATACAAAAATTATCAACTATTAAAGTACATTAAAGTAATTTATTTGGTTGTGGCTGGCAGACGAATCTAGGACGCCAATAGAGGTGGAACAATTCAATCCAATAAAACAACGGAGAATTCCAAGTATGTCAAGAAATAGCATTAAAGTATATCCTTGTGAATTAGTAGTTTTTATAACTACATTACTTACTACTGTAAAGTATTTCAGTAACAATAGTTGATTTCAGGTCAGTTATAAAACATATATCAACTTGGATTTAATCGAAACAAAAGTTATCGGCTTAAATCTTCTTTAACAATGTTATTCATTGTCAATTCATAATATTCATGTCAAGTTGAAAAGTTTATCAGCATACACCTTCTTACAATGAAAGCTTATATTTGAGAATGACACCACTAGTAAAAAATACATATTGCACCAGAAGACGTATCTGAAAGTATGGCTTTGTAAGCTAATTACCTGAAACTTCATGAACAGATGACTGTAAAAGTAACTCTACAAGTCAAGTAAAGCAAAGGGAGGAAATTTCTTAGCTGTCTTAGTATTGAGGGAGTAGTACTGTCACCCAAATATGAGGGTGACGTGGAGGAGATGATATGAAGGAGGAAGAAATGAGAGCTTCTGGGCTGTCGTGGATTCAGGTTGAAAAGATTGCAGACAACAAGGTGCAATGGAGGAGTGCTACTGAAGCCGTATGCTCCACTAGGAACCCAAGGGACAAATAATAATAATAAACTCTCACTATATATGTTTTTAACTGACTTGCCACTTCATTAACGATCTCTGGATAGTACATGTTTCTTAAAATTCGCATGTCTTTTACATTGAATGGTAAAATAATAATATAATTATACATACATGTTTAACCTGATACCGATATCACCATGAATCATTTAAGAAATTGATTATACCATTTCAAATGAGTTAAAATGAAATCTCATAGGGTGTGTTTAATTATTCAAGCTACCAAGATCAATCAAAAATAGGATATGAGACAAAATGCGCATATAAGTTAAAAATGGTGAAAATGAATCAATCAGTTAGTGTTTATCTGAAAACAATGTACAAGTCACCAACGCATAAGCTTACCCAGTGGCTAGTGGAATTACTGGATTCCATTAAGAAGTAATTCTGTAAGTATTCCTTAAAAGATATATTTGAAGTAATCAAATACCTTAAAGGTTTCAACGCAAAAAGCAAATTTATGCTTTCATTTGACTTTAACTCATTATTCACCAATGTCCCTTTGGTCAAGCCAACTGACATTTTATGTGATTATATTTTTGTGCATAATTTTTCAATACCAATTTCTCTGGATCATTTAAAAGAGCTGGTACATTTATGTACAAGTAATATTAAATTCACAATTGAGGGTGAACACTTGAAGATCTACAGGTGAAAACTAACAAGTTGGCAGAAGAGGCAGCGAAGACGGGACTTCAAGTGAATATAGAGAAGACAGAAGTGATGAAGATACCGCACCAACAACTCCAACAACAACAAGCTGCAATCACCATGAGCGGGAGAAACTTAAGAAAGTAACCTCCTTCACCTATCTAGGAAGCACTGTTTCAACTACAGGCGGGACAGACGAAGATGTCAAAGTCAGAATCGGAAAAGCAAGACAGGCGTTGATTAGCCTGAAACCAGTGTGGAGATCTTCTGCACTCAGCGTAAAGTGTGAACAAGACTCGGATTTTCAACAACAATGTCAAGTCAGTGCTTCTGTATGGTTCAGAGACTTGGCGCGTTACGAAAGGGATTTCCAATAAACTGCAGACATTCATCAACAACTGCTTACGCTCGTTACTCAAGATCAGATGGCCAGAAAGAATAAGCAACAAGGAACTCTGGGAACGAACCAACCAAGAACCTATCACACAACAAATATGCATTGGAAGGAAGTGGAGATGGATTGGGCATACACTGAGAAGGCCGACTGAGGACATCACACCTCAGGCCAGGCACTCGAGTGGGACCCAGATGGGAAGCGATGAGTTGGACTTCCGAGGGTGACATGGAAGAGATCGTGCGAGGAGGAAATGAGAGCTTGTGGGCTGTCGTGGAGCCAGGTTCAAAAGATTTCAGAGAACAGAGTTCACTGGAGACGTGCTACTGAAACCCTATGTTCCATTAGGAACCCAAGGGACAAATAATAAAAATAATAATAATAATTGAGGGTGAGCATTTCCGCCAGGTTGAATAGTGTTACCATGAGAAGTCCTTTGGGTCCCCCTCTTAGCTGACATATTTATGTCACACGTAGAAAACTTAAATGAGAACGTAACAGACTAAGCCCATCTGTATCGAAGATATGTTTACGGTGTCCTAACTGTTTGTGATTACTCAAGTCAGTCTACACCAATTTTAAAGTGATTGAACGAAGTACAGATAAGCATATCCTTGACACGCGTAGAAGAGAAAGATGACTATTTGCCATTCTTGAACATATTAATTAGTCAGAGGCAAGATGGATCCATAAAACGATCTATCTACAAAAAACCTACATGTACAGGGGAATATTAGAACTATCATAGCTTTTGTCCAGTTCACTACATGAGAGAGTTAGTTACGTGCTTATTCAGTAGAATTCAACGATTATGCACAGAGGATACTTTGGAAGACGAAAGAGGAACACTGACTGTAATACTTTTGGAAAGTAACTATCCATCAGAATTTATTAGGCAGCACTAAATAACCAGAGCGCCGAAACCAGATCTTCAGTTTGTCCCAAAGAAAGATGCCTTCATCGGTCTTCCGTGACTGTCATAGTGCAATCCTTAAAAAAAGAAACTTAACGCTGTTGTTAGAAAGACTTACCGTACAGCCAGGGTTCAATTAATAGAAACCAATAAGCCCGTATATTCTGTCAAACCCCTGAAGCATGTGAACGACAATGTCACATCCCATTGCATCTACCAATTCAAATGTACGTGCGGTGACTCATAGATCCATGCAAGTGAGGGCCTCGGATAATTTTCTAAAGTAGCTTCAGAAGCAAATTAAATAACTAGAACACATAAACGTTGGTAGCAGAGGTCCAAGTTCTTCGATCGCGAAACATATCTTTGAGGCAGGTCACAGGATTGACGTGGCCTCTTCCTTTAGACCTATTTAAAAAACTGGTTGGGGACTGATCCTTAAATTTATTGAGGCCTTAGCTATTAGGAAGTTCAAACCATCTTTGTGTGTTTATAAGCAATTTGTTACCACATTAAATCTTTCTTGGTAAATTCAACTATGAAAACCAAGTTCGACACAGATGCTGTGCATCCGTAGCTATATTGAAGAATTTAAATGTAAACTGAAAGAAACAGTTAATGAGAAAGATTATAAACTCGTGACCGATAACTTCAACAGGTCGAGATCAGCTGCCTCCAAAAAAATCCAAGAATACCCAAATAAAAAAGTTCAACAAACTAGTGGAAGAAAAGTATCCAATAGAGCATTATGAAATTCCCGACTGTACATTGGCAGCCAACGATAAAACAAAGTGGGTTATCAATCTCTCAACTAAGGTTTTAAGCTCAGCAGAAGTAAAGGTACTAGAGAAGGGACTTAACTTCAATGTAGAAGTTAGTGAACTGAGACCTGAAGATGTCATTCGTAAAATTGAAATAGCAGTAAGTTCAGTAGATAAGACATTAGCAGATGAAGTTTGAGCACAATGCGCTCTAACACTTAAGCGACAGAAAAAGACAAAACAAAGCTTACCAAAAGCAAAAAGAATGGTTTGAAGAACCTTCAAAATGACAAGGATATAGTAATTGCTAAATTGGACCAAGGCAACTCAACAGAAGTGTTAAACAAGTCTGATTATATTCAGTAAGTCAAGGAGCATATAGAAACAGGACTTTACAAGTTCGATTCACTATTATTATCGCTCTATTGATTTTAATTGTTATTCAGCCTATGATTCAGCCTTCCAACTTGGCTTCTTTTCATTTTTTTTATCTCTTACCCTCATCAATTTTCATATAAATACCTATGATAGGTACGTGTGTGATCAGATAATTCGAAATGAGTTGCGCAACTACATTACATGATTAAGGTGATTTACGTCCTTTTATTGTTTTGTCGAAAAAAAGTATGCTATTCAACGGAATTTTTGAGTTTGAATATGATGCAAAATAAGATGCATTGAACATGTAACATATTTAAAACATTTCCTTAGAAAGACCCATAATGAGAAACTACTCTGAAAACTGTTATGATTCAACTAGCAATGTTAATAACTACTAACATTATCCTAGTCTCTACAATCAGCTTCGTTTCAAAGACAAATACTCCACCTTTATTTAAAAAGAAAAAAAAAGAAAAATTTGTTGAATTCTTTAACAATTGATATTTGTTCCAAAACATTCAATGTTCATTTGCTCAGGACCAGGACACATTCGACCACCATTTCTCGGTGTAGGTGAATTACACTTTCGATATCGACTTCGTATGCCTAATTTTGATGAACATTTTGAATTGCAATTGCTCCAATAAGACCAATTAGACCAAGAACCATCACCTGTAAAATGATTAATTAATTAATTTATTCTTAAAACATATTATATATTTGATAATCCCTAATATAAGTAAATATGAATAAAACAGCTGTAGGATGACTAAGCATCTTGATAAGAAGAAATATCCATGTTAGAATAAACATGAAACCTTCACATTATCCAGTGAACTTTTATCGTGTAAATGTAATCTTGGATAACCCTACAGGGATTATAACCAGATAAAATATAAATTGACTTTTCACAAAATTTTGAGTCTAGTGAAATTCCCTGTTATGATAATAGGCAGTTGTATTTTCCAAAAGCAGTGAGAATCCTAGATGAAATTGACGGTTATATGATATTTTGTAAGTAAATATTCTATGTCTACTATCCTTCAAATTATAATACAAAGCATTTTCATGAAGGATGAATGAAATACACTGAACAAGTGTATTTACATTCATGAAATATGAACAATAATGATACTACCTGGCTGCAATCAACTCATTAAGTGGAAAGGAGTTCAAATCAGTGATGTATAAGTTAAAAATCTATTGTCTTAACCAGTGAGTCATAGATTCATAAAACAAACTTGCATACAATGACTTTTTCTTTTGATAAGCGTGAACTATCATTTCAATTTGCCACTTTTTCTTACATTCTAATAGATTAAAACAAGTGTATATATAACATTAATGTATACAATTATCCATATCAATTTGTTAAAAAGTGATTGGTTGAAACTAAGAGGGATATGCTGAATATAAAAGGTAATCTTTATAAAGTTGACTATTTCTAAGATGGTTCAGTAAATATTCTCTATTGAATAGATTAGAAAGAGGATCTATAATAAAAAATGCAATATGAGCATTATGATTAAGAAATTATTTAAAAATTAATGAATCAACACTAATTTAATAAGTAATGTCGGAAAAGTTCAGTCAATGAAAGTAGTAGATTGATATTGATAATATGACAATATGACACCTTGAACCTATTTTCGAAAATCTAAACATGACAATGTAAAGTTGTAATGATTATAGCATATTATTAACAATAAGTCTCTTGATAGGTGAACGTGATATGATAGAGATTATTTATTTGTTCATTAATCAAGACATTTTAAATTTTATAACTTATGTTTCGTAAGCATTGAAAAGTCATCAACTTTTTGATGATTTGTAAGCCTTTATGAATGTATTTGAAAGTTAAGAAAAGGAATATTCTCTCGTTTTTAGGCTTTGTTTGTACTGTCATATACTTGCAAGTTAGAATAAACAACTGAGTGCAAAATTAAACAGTAACTTGTCGAATATTAGTTGTTCTAATCGACAATCAACTGATTTTAAATGGATTAAATGAGTTTGGATAATGTAAGTAGAAGACGTAGATTATCTGAAAAATGTGATGTATTAGAGCTATACATTTCGAACAGTCTTATCACACATTTACTTGTTAAGGCATTATATATGAAAACTGGAAGTGGGGGAAGGACAAATATGACATTAAGGAACTCAATAATAAGAAAGATAATGAGAGGAATAAAAGATAAGATTTGAAGACAATCTTGGTAATATGATAAAATAAGCATTACCAATGTAGGCTTAATGTAAGGACAAGTCAGTATTTCAGTTTCCACAGCTTTTGTCCAACCCAATACAAGCGAGGTTTGGTAATTTGCCTATTTAAAAGGATCCAGCGTATTTGTACGGAAGACTCAATGGATGATAATATCAAAATACTAACGGGAACATCAGTGGAAAACGCATATCCATTGAAGTTCATAAACCGCTGCAAAAATCAGCAAGGATTCAAACCGAATCTGTACTCTGTTTCGAAGAAATACGTTTACATCGCGTTACCATACATAGGAGAATCTAACAGGATAATATTAAAACAAAGGTTAAGGTCTGCTGTTAGCAAAACATACTATGCAGCTAAGCTTATCATAGTTGAGAAGACCAAACACCTGCTGCTACCTAGACCTCAACGCTGTATAAACGATTGTGTCACATCCTATTGCGTTTATAAATTTACATGTGTGTATGTGGACAAACATACATAGGGAGGACGAATCGTGATATGCACTTGAGGGTAGGGGAACATGTTCCAAAATGGCTATGAAAGCAGCTGGATTCACAAACATTGATAAGCACAGATGGCAGACAACCATCATCATACATTGCAAAACATATCATTGATAAGAGTCACAGAACTGATATTAAAACAGCCTTTACAATTTTGTATAGAAACTGTCAGAGGCGTATAGTTAAGTTTGTTGAGGCGCTAGCCAAAAATAAATTTAACTCTTCATTGTGTGTGCAAAAACAGTTTGTCTTTACATTAAGCCTGCCTTGGTAATGCTTATTTTATCGTATTACCAAGGTTGTCTTCAAATCTTATCTTTTATTCCTCTCATTAACTTTCTTATTATTGAATTCCTCTATGTCATATATATCCTTCCCCCACTTCCAGTTTTCATATATAATGCCCTAACAAGTAAATGTGTGATCAGATTGTTAGAAATGTATAGCGCTAATACATCACATTTTTCAGATAATCTACGTCTTCTAATTATAAGTAGTATATATAAAATCTCAACGTTAAAAAAATAATGATCGACTGTTTATTCAGAAAATTTTTTATGTGAACTCTTATCTCAAACACTCATACACCTTACTCACAAAGAGGATAAGTGAACTTATGTATTCCAGTAGAATTGGTCAGACAGGATATTTTTGTCAATTGAGTTATCATTTAAGGATAAGAGAAAAGTAATCAAAATGTTAGTATGAAAATTATTGTTCAGTGACTGTCTAATGATAAATTTTCTGAAGTGTTAGCAAGTGACTGAACTCTGTACTAAAGTTCTATATATGCTGTCATTTTTACTCACACATATAATCGCCTCTGTTAGGTTGTAACCTTTATTTGAAACAATTAGTCCCTTTAATAAATTTCGATAAGCCTGTTAGAAGACGTAGATTATCTGAAAAATGTGATATATTTGCGCAATACATTTCGAACAATCTGATCACACATTTACTTGTTAGGGCATTATATATGAAAACTGGAAGTGGGGGAAGGACAAATATGACATAAAGGAATTCAATAATAAGAAAGTTAATGAGAGGAATAAAAGATAAGATTTGAAGACAACCTTGGTAATACGATAAAATAAGCATTACCAAGGTAGGCTTAATGTAAAGACAAACTGTTTTTGCACACACAATGAAGAGTTAAATTTATTTTTGGCTAGCGCCTCAACAAACTTAACTATACGCCTCTGACAGTTTCTATACAAAATTGTAAAGGCTGTTTTAATATCAGTTCTGTGACTCTTATCAATGATATGTTTTGCAATGTATGATGATGGTTGTCTGCCATCTGTGCTTATCAATGTTTGTGAATCCAGCTGCTTTCATAGCCATTTTGGAACATGTTCCCCTACCCTCAAGTGCATATCACGATTCGTCCTCCCTATGTATGTTTGTCCACATACACACATGTAAATTTATAAACGCAATAGGATGTGACACAATCGTTTATACAGCGTTGAGGTCTAGGTAGCAGCAGGTGTTTGGTCTTCTCAACTATGATAAGCTTAGCTGCATAGTATGTTTTGCTAACAGCAGACCTTAACCTTTGTTTTAATATTATCCTGTTAGATTCTCCTATGTATGGTAACGCGATGTAAACGTATTTCTTCGAAACAGAGTACAGATTCGGTTTGAATCCTTGCTGATTTTTGCAGCGGTTTATGAACTTCAATGGATATGCGTTTTCCACTGATGTTCCCGTTAGTATTTTGATATTATCATCCATTGAGTCTTCCGTACAAATACGCTGGACTAAATGAGTAGCAAATTACATCCATTCCATGATATTCTAAAGTACTTTTGTTTGATCAACAGAAGACATCTGCTTCACAACTGGACTACACTTCATTTGTTTTAGACCCATGATATGAATAATCATTATGGTGACCGTATTTTTTACAGGTGAGAGATTTTTCAATAGGATTCTTCTTGAAACATTGTTTTATCGAACTAAAAAATAGGGTTTTAATTAGACGCGTTTTTTGAGTGATGCTTTACACATGTATCCCAAATGAATGTATTTTTAAGTCTTCAAAAAACAAAGTATATAATTTGAAAAAAAAATAGCCATTATCACGTTTCACTTTTTACCTTATTTCAGTTTATAGTTTAGAGATAGGATCCAGTACACAATTAGTAGTTTTAAATCTTTTTCAAGTGATATACGCATCATCATTATACTTGCCATTATCTGATTAATTGAATCCTTCAGTTTTGCCTATATTATGTTCAGCACAAAGATTTCTATCCAATGAATGAACTAACACGTTACTGAACTTGAATGCTACTTCTTTTGCCAAGATTTCTGAATACGGCTTGAGTTCAATTCGGGGTAAATAAAGACCATATTTTAACATATAAGAGATATGATTTCCATCTGTAAGATCTTTATTAAAACAATAAACAAACTTGTAAATTAACTCGGAATGATAAATTCCGATGTATTTTTTAAACCACAGTAAACTAGCTTTTCATGAATCTTGTCTGATTGTTTCATGAACTAATTGGGCGGATTGTAACAAAATGAACTGATACAAGATACTACTACTACTACTCACACTACTACTAATGTAATTAAGGACAAGAATGCAACACAGGTAGGGATGTTTTTTATTGACGTCTTGTACAGTAGTGATGAAATGTTGTACAGTTCCCACGGAAACAGTCGTTTACACGATGTAATTTATTTCCTATTTTCATTCTCTCTAGATCTGTTCTTAATACGTCCATACTACCTCTTAGCTTTCTCTGGATGGAGTATTTACCCATCTCTGGTAAATGTCTATGATTTTTGCTACCCCCTCAACATTTACTACTTATATCCATTCTGATTAGCAGTGCCTACTACACTACTACTACTGCTATTATAAGGACGTCAGGTTTGTTTAAATTTAACAAGTCTTAAAAGTAAGTTGGTCAAGATGCTCCAGATTTTAAGGTAATGTCACTAATGTTTACTATTTTTGAAAGCTCTTTCTTCATCCATTCATTCATAGTCCATCATGTTTTGTTGACTCAGTCTGGTCGAGTGCCAACAAGCACTCAAAAACGTCATGTATTAATTATATTCAACTTCAACTTAGGAACATTTTTATCCTCATGAGTTATATGGATACTAAAACTGCTTCGTAGAAAAATCAGAGATATTCTTATTATTCTTACAAAATTTCAATCATGTTTGATGATCTATACATGAAAATGTTGACTGTAGAAAAGATTATCAATTCTATTGGTTGTACTGTAACTGTAGACTATATATAAGTAAGAACTATGTAGTTAACTGCCAAATAGACTAGATGCCTGAAATCTATAGCTTAGATTATAACTTAATATGACTGATTAATTATAACCAATTTCTAACCACCCCTGATAATTCAACTCAAACTACTAATCAGATGATTGTATGAATATCTCAAATGATAATTCGGAACGGAACAATAAATAGTCACTTGTATACAATAGATATGACTGTGATATCATAACTTTAGAAATAACTGTCAAGCAACCAAGTGGTAATCCGTGATAATAACAGGTGAAGATTATATGAAACGTGATCGTATCAAAGGAACACATACCTCGAACAGTCTGATCACAAACAAATTTGTCGGATTACTGATATGGTAATTCGTGTATTTGCACGCGTATACTAAAAATTAGCCATAGGGTAGGTATAAAAGAAGTCTTTAAAATATTGCATAAATATAGCCAAGGATGAGCACCTTAATAAAACACTGGACAAAGAAGTGAAGAAGAGTGCGTGCAAAGACAAAAGATACTTCCACGACACATTGGCAAGTAAAGCAGAACAGGCTGCAGGAGAGACTCTACAACATCATCTCAAATAACCAGGTTACTATCTGGAAAGAGATCAACACACATGAAACCAATAAAAGATGATCCAGGAAATCTAATCACCAAAGAAGATAAACAATGGAAGCAATGGGCTGATCACTTCGAAAACCTCTTGAATCGACTACAACTTGCACTTCGTCCAAAAATACCACCTGCAGTCACAGAACTACAAGTAAACACAAATCCTCCCACGAAGGTTGAAGTCCTGAGCGCTATAAAGCTACTGAAATGCGGGAAAGCAGCAGGACCAGGTGGGATCCCACAAGAAGCATTGAGAACAGACGCAGGGACAACAGCGGACGTGCTCACACCAATTTTGCAGGTCAGGAAGGAAGGAAAGGTACCTGGCAATCGGAAGAAGGGCTACCTTGCCAAACTCCTGAACAAGGGTGACCTAAGTGTTTGCAAGACCTGGCGCGGAATCACGCTCCTGTCCACCCTAAGCAAAAATATTAAGCCGAGTCATCCTGGAGAGACTAAAGGATGCGCTGGATTCAAAAATACCACCGGAACAAGCTGGATTCACGAAGTACAAATCATGTGCACACCAAATTGCAACGAAACGCTATGCATCATCACAGAACAGAGTATAGAATGGCAGTCAAACCTCTAACTCAACTTCATCGACTTTAAAAAGACCGGTCTACAACAGCGTCGAACGACAAAGTAATTTGGAAACTGTTTCAACACTACGGAATACCACATACCTTTATCAACCTCATTCAACAACTATATGAAGACGCCACATGCCAAGTGATTCACAATGGAAAGCTCAGTGATGCCTTCGAAGTGAAGACAGGAAGCAGTAAGACAAGGCTGTCTACTACCACCCATGATATCCCTGATTGTGGTGGAGTGGCCTGGATCATGCAACAACCAACTGTGAGGAGCGAGAAGAGGGGGATACGCTGACTGAACCGGGGAAAAGATCCTAGAAGATTTGGATTTCGCCAATGATGACTTATGTCTAATGTCTTGTGGCACAAACTTGAAGATCTACAGGCGAAAACTAACAAGTTGACAGAAGAGGCGGGGCAGCAAACACCGTACTTCAAGTGAACGTAGAGAAGACAGAGGTGATGAAGATACCCAACCAACAACAACAACAACAACAGCAACAACAAGAAGCTCCAATCACTATCAACAGGAGAAACCTGAAGGAAGTAGCCTGCTTCACCTACCTATCTAGGCAGCACTGTTTCAACTACAGTCGGTGGCACAGACGAGGACATCAAATGCAGGATCGGAAAAGCAAGACAGGCGTTCATTAACCTGCAATCAGTGTGGAGATCTTCCGCACTCAGCATAAAGTGTGAACAACATCCGGATTTTCAACACCAACGACAGTCAAGTCAGTGCATCTATGTGTTGGTTCAGAGACCTGGCACCTTACGAAAGGCATTCCCAACAAACTACAGATATTCATCAACAACTGCCTATGCTGTCTCGTTACTGAACATTCATCAGATGGCCAGAATAATAAGAATAGGCAACAGGGAACTCTGAACTGGTAACGAATCAACCAAGAATCAATCGCTCAACAAATATGATGAAGGAAGTGGAGATGGATTGTGCATGCACTGAGAAGGCCGACTGGAGACATCACGCGTCAGACCATGCACTCGAGTGGAACCCAGATGTGGAACGACGAGTTGTGCGTGTGAGCGGTGGATGACATGGAGGAGATGATGTGAGGGAGGAAGAAATGAGAGCTTGTGGGCAGTTGTGGAGCCAGGTTGAAAATATTGCAGAGAAGAGAGTGCACTGGAGACGTGTTACTGAAACCCTATGTTCCATTGGGAACCCAAGGGACTAATAATAATACTAATCTACTTTTCATTAGTCACTTCGTTTGAGATGAGATTCCCTGGGTTCTAGTGAGAAGTCATGACGCGTGGGACAGACGAAGTCGGACGTGAGCACAAGTACTCAACGACAACATTGGATGGAGGTCACGCTATATCGTGAACTAATGGAAGTTTGAAATTGGAGACTGTCGGATTCCGACCCACTGACTGAGTGGTAAACTCCTTGAACACGAAACCTCAAGGTCCTGAATTCGAACCCTAGTGGGGTCATAGGTGAGAACTGTTGAGGTGTCCCATACTAAGACTAACTAGATACCCAGTTCTCCCGGGTCTTCAGTGGTTCACAGATGATGCCAGCCAGTGATCCATACTTAAATGACTTTAATTTTCACTCCAGGAGTGATGTGATTCATACTTTGTTTTGTTCTACTCTCCCTATACTTCATCATCATTATCAGGATCAGCATAGGACCAGGGATTAATGTGTAACAGTCTAAGTCGCCATACTTCATATCAGCATATCAAGTAACAAGACAATAAAATGGCAGATGAAGAAAGAAAGAAAATCGGTCGAAAGAAATAGAAAGTGGTGGAAGAGAGAAAGGAAGAATGAGAAAATGATGAGACTAAGTATAGTGGTTAAGATGAGGATAATTTATGCATACATCTGTACTACTGATATCGGTTTTGAGCTACATCATTTAGAATCTCCAACCACTGATTGCTCTTGTCCCGCAGACCGCAACCGGCTAATCTGCATCACCCTATGTGGCTCGAACTAACAGTCAAGGACTTTATGCGTTGATGAGATGTTTTAGTGTGTCCGCCCTGGGCCTCTGTCCAGCCTAAACACACTTCGGATAACTTCTTGCTACTAGGCAGACGGTAGCTAAACATGCGTAACACATGTCCCAGCCATCTCAGCTAATGAAGGTTAACAACCGCATCAACTGCCTTACATTTCCCCTCTAAAATTCTACACCTGACTTCTACGTTACTCACATGGTGACACCACGGAAGTATGGTCTATGATAGGAAGGCAATGGTGTTCAAACACCTGAAGCCTTCTCATATCTTCTACCTTTAATGCCCGTATTTTACAGCCATAGTGTAGAACAGGGCGGACTGCAGCATAGTACACGCGATCCGTAATATACAACTGGACATCGTGGCGGCGACGCAGATGGCATAAGTTAGCAAAAAATAACCGACACTTCTGTTTCTGTGCAGAGATTTTGTCGGCCACTTAGTGCTGACATATCATATATTTCAGATAATCTTCGTTTACTCATTATGCTGTATAAATTTGTCAAGAGGACTTGTTGCCTTAAACATCAGAAGGATTGATGAATATAACTTTTAGTGAACCTACATTTCCATCAACCATTGCGTTCACTTCAGACAAGTAATGGTATGAATTATTGTACTTCTGTTTTGTATCTGTCCTACGCCTATACTTTTTAAGACGTGAAGCCTAAAAGCCGATAGAAGTACTTCAAATCTGTTCTGAATTCAACTCAGTCTCGATAAGCGGTTTGTGTACCTGCTGTTATTTTCACACACTACTCGGCTTTTTATGCGGATTTCGAACTCAGTAAATTTAATTTGCTTCTCGAACGAGGTTTGCTTCTGTTTATTTTGAAAACATTTATTTGATCCGTTTATAACTAGTCAAATTTATGAGTAGTACTCAAGCTTTCTTCCATTTCAGTTGGTTTTGACTGACCTGTATCTATGTTATTCGAAAATTACTGATGAAATCGAGTAAGTTATCGTTATATATACATGTATACATATATTCTTAGTATTTATACATTTCGATATTGTTTTAGGATGTTGGCTGCTGAACGAAAACCATAAGGTAAGATGAATCCATCTCAGTCTGTCATACTTGTTTTCTTGTCTGTCTAAAGTTATAAATCATTACATCAATAATGAAGCATAGGTTTTACTGAGGCTACTTCTCAGTAGTTGTGGGGATTTTATAAACTAACAATGCTTAGTTCATCAAATGAAGGAAAGGTATTAAAGAATGCTCTTAAACTGATGAATCATTTTTCTATTCCTCTTACAGTACTGTTACGGTATCAAATGATTATTATTCAGAGATCAAAGTAAACTCACCAGCTCCAATGATAACAATCGCTTCACAGATTTTAGAAAAGTATATATTGCCCATTTCATCAGCAGATGCGATACTTATTTCATATGGTTGACCAATTTTTAATCCAAATATTTCCGTTACATAATTCTCACCCCATGGATCAAGTTTATTCAACTTAATTTGTTCTACATAAAGTTCAGATTTTCTATAATGAACAGAATTTATAAGATCTAAAACATGTACTTCAAAATGTGATGGCATACGACCATATGGTGTTCTACGCCATTTAACTTGTACAGATGGACTACGAAAGATAGCCTGAAAAACGCATGTGATTGGTGGTTCCACTTTCACATCTGATATTGGACAGGCTTCATTAATCCAACAGTGAACTTTACGTGTTTCACTGATTGTTGTTGTTGTAAATGTCATTGGTAACGATGATAAATTCTCTTCACTTTGAATGTTTTCCAACTGTGAACATATTTCAAGAAAAAGAATTTCTTTGTCATAATTTGAAAAATCAATAAAATATTCCATTTAGAACAACTTCTTTACTGGTAAAAAATATGAATTTAGAAAAATTAATGAAATTCATTATCAGATAAAAAAAAAGGATGTGTAGTTAGTTTTTGACCATGTTTCTAGTCTTTAAATCTGAAGGTTAATTAACTATACAAACAACCATTAGATTATTAGTATTATTATGATTTGTCCCTTGGGTTCCTAGTGGAACATAGGGATTCAGTTCTACATAGCCATTCCACTCTCTTCTCTACAGTCTTCAAAACCTGACTCCACAACTCACCACAAGCATTCGTTTCTCCCTCACACCCTCGCCTTGAACACCCAACTCCGCGTTTCGCATTTCGATTCCACTCGACGGCGTAGCGTAGCCTGGTCTGGTCTGGTCTCGTCTGCCCTAGACCGTGATGTCCCCAAATACTCTCCTCAGTGTATATCCAATCCAATCCAATACAATACAATCCATCACCGCTTTCTTCGTCTGCATATTTGTTGGGCGATGGATCCCTGGTTGTCTCGTCACCACTCACAGTTCCTCCTTCATCATTCTTATTATTCTCGCCATCTGATCTCATCTCAGCTCATCTCATCTGATCTTCAGTGTCAGTATCGAGTGAGTGTAGGTGGCAGCTGTTCATGATATCTGTGTGCAGTTTGTTGGGAATGCTTTTCAGGACACGCCAAGTCTCTCAATCATCACATCGAAGCACTGACTTGACTGATATTGGTGTTGGTGTTGGAAATCTGGATGTTGTTCACGCTTTCTGCTGTGTGGAGTGGAGTGGAGTGGAGTGGAATAGATCTGCACACTGGTTTCAGACTAATGGAGATAGGCCTGTCTTGCTGCCTTTCCGATCCTGGCTGGCTTTGACATCCTCATCTGTGCCACCACCTGTAGTTGAGACGATGCTGCCTAGGTAGGTGGGTAGGTGAAAGAGACTACTTCCTTCAGATTTCCTACGTTGATGGTGATTAGTGCTTGTTGTTGGTTGGGTATTTTCATCACTTCTGTCTTCTTCACATTTACCTGAAGGAATTCGCGTGTTTGTTGTCTCTTCTGCCAACTCGTTAGTTTTCGCCAGTAGATCTTCGATATTGTGCGACAAGATATTAGACATGAATCATCATCATCAGCGAAATCCAAATCTTCTAGGGTCTTTTCATCGGTCTTCTCAAGCAGCGTATGCCCCTCTTCTCCCTCTTCACTGTTTGTTGCATGATCCAGCCCAGTCCAGTCCAGTCGACAACTATCAGGAAGATCATCGTTGATAGCATGCAGCTTGTCTTACTCCTTCCCAGTGTGGATCACTTGGCATGTGGCGTCTTCATATAGTTATTGAATGATGTTGATAAAGGGTTGTGGCACCAAAACCGTAGTGTTGAAGCAGTTGCTTGTCAAAATACTTCTCGGTCGACGCTGTCGAAGGCCTTTATACGAGCCATAAGTCATCGACATGACAGAATCATGCAGTGAACGAATTTCATACACAGACATTCGCCACCGTGACTGGTAGGGAAGTGGGCGAGGAATCAATAGAAAGCTCTTGAGTTGAACTATGCAACAGCACTCTAAGTTTTCAGTAAAGTGTATATTAAGATAAATGCTGCTTGTCTGAGATTCTTGCAATTATTTCCAATATACGTTATAAGATTTTGAATCTGCTCATTGAAATTCCATTGCTGGGTAATTTAACAACTATGATAACAAATTGATTCTTAGTCGACAGGTTTCAGACATCACATAAAGGTAGAGCATGATACATGAGAGAATCTGAAAAATCTGTGTAACTAAATTTCTTCTGGATGTAAACTTTTGTCCTCTGAACAGGTTAATAATCCTGTCTATAACCGCAGAAGTAAGCGAAGTGAATTTAAATTTCATCAACAATATGGTTCTTTTTAACCTCGCCTAGCTAACTAGTTCACTACTAACTAGCCGGTCCCAAGCTCCGATAAAGATGGAACTTTGGGCATAGGGCTAGCAGCTTTAACCCGTTAAACTAATCCAATCGCAAAAAAATTCAAAGCACAGAGAAAATATCAAACACATTAACTTATTCCTCGCTGGAATCGGGCAGACTAAATGTTGCTGGTTGGTGAAAGCCTAAGGGAAGCCAGTCGTCTGATGTGTCTGCTCTCCCTCGATCAAAGCAAAGGTAAGCATAGGGGCATGGAATGTTCGCTCAATGTATGAATCTACCAAGGCCGCCCAGATTGCAAAAAAGATGAGAAGGTATAATATAGAAGTGCTAGGAATCTGCGAAGAACCAGCAGATGGAATGGAAGTGGACTCTCCAAACTGTCAACTGGAGAGTCAATAATCTACTCCAATATTATCACCCAGACGACAACCACGAGCACACTGAGTTTTGGAGTGGCTATCATGATGTCTCCAAGACAATCGAAGGCTCTCATGCAGTGGGAACCAATCATGACAGCGAGATCCAACTGGAAAGGAACGAAAGTCAAAATCATTCAGTGCTACCCGTCAATAAATAATGCAGATGAAGAGAAGAAGGAGGAATTCTACAGACAACTGCAACCAGTACTAGACAAGAGTCTACTTGGCGATTTGGTGATTGGAGGCAGTGTGTACAAACGCAAGGATATTCACAAAGCGACATGGACATCACCAGATGGACATACTACACTAAAAATCAGATCGACTTTATCTCAATGTGAAGAAAGTGGAGATGCAGCCTACTTGACATAAGATGAGATCAAGAAGGGGAGCAGACATTGGTCGTTCACACCACTCACTGTCTAGTGCAAGGAACCCACCTTCCAAATCAAGTTGAAAGCCTTCAATTCGAGGAAGCTGGTGATAGACCATAGTTCAAATTGAACACTCAGAACAGAAAATGAACAGAGAGAGGAAACTACAAAGGACATCTTCATGTCAGCCACCAAGACAAAATAGGAGACATTAAGCAACATCCTTGAGAAACCTGCAAGGAAGGACACTGGAACTCATTGAAAGAGACATGGAAGGAAACTTGCATAACCGTATTAGGAAGGAAGAGGAAGTGGCAAGACAAGGAACGGATCTCGACGTACACATGGGAGCTGATAGAGGAAGAGGAAGATGGTGAAGCAGAAAATGAACCAGTGCAGTCCAAGGATGCACAACGAAAAGACGAACTGAGTACAACGTATAAAACACTGGACAAAGAAGTGAAAAAGAGTGCACGCAAAGACAAAAGAAACTTCTACGACACATTGGCAAGTGAAGCAGAACAGGCTGCAGGAGAGACCTGACAACATTATATCCATTAACCAGGTTATCTAGGAAGAGATCAACTCAGCTGAAACCAATGAAAGATAGTGAAGGGAAGCTAGTTACCAAAGAGAAGAAACAAAGAAAACGACGGACTGACTACTTCGAAAAGCTCTTGAATCGACCACCACCTGCACTTCGTCCAGAAATACCACCAGCAACGGCAGAACTGACAGTGAACCCAGGCCCTCCGACAGTAGCAGAAGTCCTGAACGTCATAAAGCTGCTGAGATCCGGGAAAGCAGCAGGACCGGGTGGAAGTTCGCCAGAAGCACTGAAAACAGACGCAGAGACAACAGCGGACACGCTCACACCACTATCGGGGAAGGTCTAGAAGGAAGGAGAGAAAGGTGCCTCCACATTGATTGGAAGAATGGCTACCCTGTCAAACTCCCAAACAAGGGAGACCTAAGTCTTTGCAAGAAATGGCGGGGAATCGTGCTGCTGTCCACCCCAAGCGAAATATTATGTCGCATTATACTGGAGAGACTAAACGATGCGCTTAATTCAAAATTACTACCGGAACAGGCAGGCTGACTTCAGGAAGAACAAGTCACGTGGACATCAAATTATAACGCTACGCTATACGTCATAATAGAACAGAGCATAGATTGGCTGTCAACACTCTGCCTCAACCTCATCGACTTTGAAAAGGCCTTCGACAGCGTCGACCGAGAAGTATTTTGACAAGCAACTGCTTCAACACTACGGTTTTGGTGCCACAAACCTTTATCAACATCATTCAATAACTATATGAAGACGCCAAATGCCAAGTGATCCACAATGGGAAGCTCAGTGATGCCTTTGAAGTGAAGACAGGAAGGAGTAAGACAAGGCTGCCTACTATCAACGATGATCTTCCTGATTGTGGTGGACTGGATAGTGTAGCAAGCCTTCGAGGAGTGAGAAGAGGGGCATATGCTGGATTGATGAAACGACCCTAGAAGATTTGGATTTCGCTGATGATGATTCATGTCTTTGATCGAGGGAGAGCAGACACATCGGCTGACTGGCTTCCTTTTGGCTTTCACCAACCGGTGTCATTTTGCCTTTCCGTTTCCAGTGAGGAATAAGTTTGTTTTTATGTCTTCTTCGTGCTCCCTCTTTACCCGGGCTTAGGACCGGCTAGTAACTAGTGAACTAGTTAACCAGGCGAGGTTTCACCATATATTTAATTACATACATTCATCATCCGGATCACAGTTATTTAGGATATGGTGGGTTTTCTGCTCTTGTTTTAGTTTATACAGAATGGGCAAGAAAGGCTGATATTTAATGTGTTTCAAACGGGTCCTCTTGCGTTCAGTTCAGTTGGTTATTCATTAGCGTGGAAAAGTGTAGTAAAGTTAGTATTATTCAATCCGTGAAGTGTCCAGAAGTTTAAAACCACATAACGGTGATAAGTTTATCTATTTCGCAGTTATCATATTAAGCCCATTACATCAAGGTATATCAGTTTATTTTCCATTATAACAGAAATGAGGATTCACTCAGAAACTATGATAGGTTTTAAGAGGAATGTAAATACTGAACCGGTTATTCACAATAACTGCTGAGAGCGACTAAAGACCAAAGGCCTTAGCCACTTAGCATGTTCAAAGAGTAATAGTGTTTATTTTCGGTGTTTATCTCTCTCCAATATCGACTTACTCATTACCTTGAAGGTTTGTAAATATAAAAGTTTTATTCATGAACTAAACCCAAAATTGTATCAAGTGTCAATTTTGTACTTAAGCGTATCAATGTACTAAGTTTTTATCGTACTATCAGAATTAATACTCTGTCAATTAGTAAGTATCATGTTTTCTGGGAAGAAAGCGGCTTACTTCATTTTTGCATATTACTGTACATTAAGCGTCTTCAGCTTACTCTGTGTGTATATAAATTGAATTTTAATCCTCTTATAACGAGGTTGATCACCTACCGGTCTCTAATATGCTGTGTGAATTGTCTTCAAGGTGTCAAAAGTGCGTTGTAAATTAGTCATGTGTGTAGATACGACTGTAGGTGAGAAATATTGACATGATCCCAATTTGATCAAAATGTGATGATGAAATTTATGATAATTCGAACCTTATAGCTTAGTTGGTGGAGCAATAGGCCGGGACCTGGTGGTTGCTGGTTCGAATCCGGCAGTGATCTAAATTTTCATTTCACCTTCAGTCACCACCTAGTTTAAATTTGGAATTTATTGCCTCTAGAAGGAAGCAGCAGTAAATGACCTCTAATTTTCATGCATATGAAGAAAATATTTGTTATTTTAACCGATAAATTCGCTGCAGATTTATTTCAAAGGCTCAAAACCAATCTGAGTGGCACGGATATATGTATATATTGTCTTCATCTTAACTGTCACGCCGAATTTCATTACTACTTCTCCTGCTTTTCTTCTCACAACCTTTTATCCTCTTCGGCTACTTTCTTGCTTGTTTCTTTATCGTCAATCTTGGTACCTCCTAGCTTGATTTTTGGGTATAAGGTTCTGTAGCATGGAATGTTACCCGGTAGTGTCGGGTTATGTGTTGATATTGACCGATAGACTGATTTTCAAAGCTCCAAAGCCTTAGTAGAAATACAGGTGTTAACTTTAAGATACATGAAGTATCTACCTGAAAGCAGTTAACAGTTGATAGCAAATGTATACATTAATAATTACAGGGAACTGGAAAAATCTTTATATAACTCAATTTTAGTAAAAAAAAAAAGTAATACTCACCTTGTTCCTAACAACTGACTGATTTAACAACTTTCTCATTTGTAGCTGTAATCCTGGCTCGCATCTCCGTCCAGCTGGTGTTCTACTAAAATTTAACATCGATTCCCAAGGATATTCTTCTGGAAGCTCATCGATTGTAGGAATGATTGTTGAACACTGCTGTAGAGCAATCCATGGTCCCCAAATTTGATTGTGTTTAATATATCTTCCCATAGTTCGCGATGCTATATGTATAAAGAAGCGTTCTATTAAGTTCTTTATGCTTCAGCTAGGGTAGATAAAACAATGCGTACTTAACCCTGAGTGACCGAATACATCTATTTTTGAAGTGACCTGTTAAAAAAGTGAGAGCCTAGTGCTTACTGTTAAAGAGAAATAACTAATACTTCTACCCGCCTAACTTAAAAACATTGTTATTTGGTAAACTTAATATGAAAACCGTTTATTAACTATTGATGAAAAATCGGAAACTGTATTATCACTGCCATAAACCTCAAAGTAGTAGTGAAGAGGTCAATTTTCCGATAACATTAATGATAAAAATCTAGTTATGAATTTCTCAATTCGGTCCAATCAGCGACGAATAATTACAAGCTATAATATTAAAAAAAAACTATTCTATTTCACAGTTATTGTAGTTTTACCTGTCAATTCGTTCAGTTTCACCTTTACGTTAGTTAACTTAGTGGTAGAGTTATTAATAAAAGCATGGTTAAACTATCTTCAATTACATGGAGTTGAACTACATGAAAAGTTGTACATGATACAGCATAGATCGAGATTTCAGTCAATAATATCACACCAACATCTCACCAACTGCCATTCATGAATATCCTATTGGTTATGAAATCTACAAGTCTTGAGTTTAACTGCTATCAAAACTATTTAACTGTCTTTCTTAAAGACTCTACAACTAACTAGTAATGAAGTGACCACTTTTCAATACGATTTTTAATGTCTTTTATAAACAACAATGCCTTTCTTTCAATTGTAAAACTGAAGCGTAGACTAGATTGTTGACTAGGCCTTGGATATGAAATTCTTATGAAGTTAGCGTGATATTATACTTCCTCTGATTCAAGAGTTAAATAAAAATCTACCTTTTGATGTTATTAGTAACATTCTGTCTTATATTTGCTGGTTGACTGACATAGTTGGCTAATATCGCTTTGTATGCGTAACCTTTAAGCCCATTGGGGAAAAATCCTAAGACTACCTACCTTCATGGTTCAGAAATGAACGGATACAATCTATCAGAAGTTCTGTTTTATCTCATCTTGTTGACAGTAGTCACTTGGTAGATAAGAAGAATATTTTCATGACTATCTATAGCATGCTATCTAGTTTTTTGAAAGGTATTCAAACTCGTCTTTTACACAAATCAGAAGCTTTAAAATTCAAGTCAGTAATCTAAGTCTTTATATCTAGAAGAAGTTTGTACATCTCTTATCTCTGCCTTGACTAGGAAATACTTGGTAAACAACTTTATCACTTTCTTATCTTTGACCTCTCTCATATATTTATCATAGTAGCTGCGGCATGCACTCGAAACTTTAAGAAAAATCTTGCTTTGATTTTCTAGACACTCTGGGATTAGTATAGATCCGTCTTTGTTTATTCACTGAATACATCCTTCATTTTATTTGTACTGTTTGTAATATTATCACTATTGTTATTTTTAAACCATTAATCACGCTAAATAATAATTCTATATGATTGGTTTAAATTTTATGTGTTTAGCTATGTATATTAGAGTAAGGCTTGAAGAGGATATGATTGAAAACGATATTGTTCGTTTAAATGTCTTGTTCCAAAAAATACAAGACACAAATGGTAGCCTTTGTGCCCAATAGCCTACTGGATAAAGCTTTAGCATTTGAAACGAACAGTATAGGGTTCAAGTATCAGTGGGAACAACATTACTACTCACTAAGATTCAGATACATCTATCTGACAAATCATAAATAAGAAGAAATGCATGTCATGAATTCCACCGTCTGCCACTAAGATGAATACAAAATGGTTGAGAGATGCGAATATGTAATCCAGTCGCATTTCTTATTTTACACAGAATAGTACAGTCCATCAAATTTTGTATATATCTATAACACTTATTAGGATAAATCTATCTCCTACTATTTTAAGGAATGAAAAATATCAGTTTCATACTTATAGATCGTTAAGGTGGTCTCTAATGTGCAGTAGTAACAAAAACTCGTCTACTCTACGTCAATCGATGATGAAACTGCTATGAATCCAATCAATTCCACAAAACTACTCAAATGAAAGAAAAATAATCTTAGCTGTCAATTCCTTTAACACTTAGTTACTTTTCTACTTAGAGAAGTAAAACGACTACAATTTTGTCTAGTAAACCATGAATCTAAGACTTCTTAGAAAAGGAAGAGACTTTGAGGTGTAACACTACAGTTTTTCATAAACCAACATTTCTAATCTATCCATTAGATGTGAATAAGATTCTGTAGACATTTATTCAATAACATGTCAGCAGAAGTCTCACATTTACACATTGTACACCAACAGTATTCAACTAATGTAACATTATCATTTTGTCAATCTCAAATAGCTGTGGTTTGGTAGACTGGTATTTATATTGGGTGTTGAATGAAGTTGAAATCAAAGTATGGACTGTGACAGGATTTGCAGGTCAGCTAGCAGAGCATCGGATCAAAAACTCCGTAGTTGCTTGTTTGAAACCAGCCGCGGTCGAAATTTTCATTTCACTTTAAATCATCACCCAGTATGAATAATATAACATTGAACAGAGATCGAAAATATACAATTTTTAGACTCACCCTCTGTAGCAATTGAAATTTTTGTGTTATCTTTAAAATCACAACCGGCCCCTTCACAATTAGATGAAGTTGCTTTAATTAACGAACTAGGCTGTTCATTGACAGAATAATTTCTAGGAGAATCTGTGAAAACAACAAACTCTCGTATTTAAGCATCGTATAGATTATGTTTCTCGTCTCTTGAGAACATAAATCACTTCAATTAACACACAAAGGTAATTCAGATAAGCTGCTCAAACTAAAAAAAGTCCTCATCTGAAAAATTTAAAATATTTATTACCTGCAAGTGTTCGATTTTACATACTCTTTCATCTTCATTATTCAACCTTAAGCAAGAACACTTTTTGGTATGTGTGACGCGCCAGTTTGAATTCAGGCGTCAAAAAAACCACGGATACAAAAGTATTTTCAATCATTCTACAGAAGCTACTACATAATAAAAACATTCAGGGGTTCACTTCCGTTTTATAGAGAAATTTCAATCAAGTTTAGAAAATGTGCGATCATTTCTTCTTCAAATGGGTTGAATTTTTATTGTAATTATTTGTCCCTTGGGTTCCTAGTGGAACATAGGGATTCAGTTCCACATAGCCATTCCACTCTCTTCTCTACAGTCTTTAAAAACTCGATCCACAACTCACCACAAATTTTCATTTCTCCATCACACCCTCGCCTTGAACACCCAACTCCGCGTTTCGCATTTCGATTCCACTCGACGGCGTAGCGTAGCGTAGCCTGGTCTGGTCTCGTCTCGTCTGGCCTAGACCGTGATGTCTCCAAATACTCTCCTCAGTGTATATCCAATACAATACAATACAATCCATCACCACTTTCTTCGTCTGCATATTTGTTGGGCGATGGATCCCTGGTTGTCTCGTCACCACTCACAGTTCCTACTTCATCATTCTTATTATTCTCGCCATCTCATCTCATCTGATCTTCAGTGTCAGTATCGAATGAGTGTAGGTGGCAGCTGTTCATGATGTCTGTGTGCAGTTTGTTGGGAATGCTTTTCAGGACACACGCCAAGTCTCTCAATCATCACATCGAATCACTGACTTGACTGATATTGGTGTTGGTGTTGGAAATCTGGATGTTGTTCACGCTTTCTGCTGTGTGGAGTGGAGTGGAGTGGAGTGGAATAGATCTGCACACTGGTTTCAGACTAATGGAGATAGGCCTGTCTTGCTGCCTTTCCGATCCTGGCTGGCTTTGACATCCTCATCTGTGCCACCACCTGTAGTTGAGACGATGCTGCCTAGGTAGGTGGGTAGGTGAAAGAGACTACTTCCTTCAGATTTCCTACGTTGATGGTGATTAGTGCTTGTTGTTGTTGGTGGTGGTGGTGTTGGTGGTTAGGTATCTTCATCCCTTCTGTCTTCTTTACGTTCACCTGAAGGAAGTCCCGTCTTCGCTGCCTCGCCTCTTCTGTCTACTTGTTGGTTTTTCCCTATAGATCTTCGTGTTTGTGTGATATTAGACATATCATGTCATATATGCCTAGAGTCTTACTAGGGATAAAGTTCATAGTCACTAAACTTTATTCAGGTTACGCGAAAGTAGATTTTCCCAAGACAATATTTATGGACATTTTGGTTTTTGCTCACAAAGTTATCATACTTATGCTTTCATCTACGGGTTACATTAGAGTAGTTGTTCAGTTGTCAATCGACATATATTGAGACAAATTTTTCTGGAACCCGTAAAGATTATTTGAAATATATGATATCTCTTTAAGTACTTTTTTCACTGCGTTTTACGTGAATGATGAATAGTCGCCATTTATGGAATCAAGGATGAGCTTTTCCTTCTATTTGGAGCTCATCAAGTGGATCCAACTGCATCACAGTGAATGATATTCCTCCCATTGAGACTTTAATCCAGCATCTATTGCTTCAAACCCTATGGAGTCTTGTGATAGGTTGCTAAGTTACTGTGAAACTGTAATTAAGGGTACCATGGGAACATCCACACAGCATCTCATGTGCTCACAATACCCCGTCAATTCGGTCGCTGTGAAACTGTAGCTCATAACATCAAGACAAAGTTTGCTTTCGAAAATAGGCAAATTAGTTGAATTTAACTAACTTGCATAATAAAAGTAGTTCCCTTGTAAATTTTCTCAAAGCAAGAACAACAAATATTGTGGCATGAACCGAATTCACGCCGTGTGCTCTAAATCTCTCACATTCACACTAAATTTAAAATTGTATACAGTAAGCTATCAGTGTCCAGCATAAGTTATTTGATACATTTCAGTAGTAAACTCAATTCCATATACATCCTTTAAACTTAAACGTTAATACACATATGTGGATGGGAAGAGAGATGAATGATGAAGTTGACGATGTAAATAACCAATACAGGGGACAAGTCACACATAAATCTCCGTTCAGACAACAAATTGCTGCTACTTCTGTGTAACGTAGTGATCTACTATTTCTTTGTCTATTGATTACCTTAAAAGCTATATCTGAGTCAATGGCATGACTTATATCGTGGATGTCCTTGCCAGTGGCGCTGCTTGGTAGCCTTCTACCTCTTAATGACAGGCTTTTAGGTACATTTTGGGAGATTCGTTTAGTAAGGACGTTCTCCATTATGTGTACAAACGAAGTTTGTGGTTCGCCTTGTATTCCCTTGGAGAGTGGTTCTTTCCTTACAATTTTATTTACTGTTTTATTCTTTCATCTTATTGTCCTACATATTATTCCCAAACATTGTTCATATTCTCATCAGTTTCTACTTCATTTAACCTACTCTATCTTTATCATTTTGGTTGGCATATCCTTTTCCATTCGTCTGCCTTGAATTCATATACTTTGCACACCATCTTTGTTGTTCTCTCCCTTCCATCAGAATTTTCTACAACCTTGAGCTGTAATCACATTCCTGTACTACTATCACGTCGTATTTTACTTTGTACATCATGATCGATTTGAAGTCTGACTTGTTGTGACTTGTTCCCTGTATTGGTTATTTACATCGTCAACTTCATCATTCATCTCTCTTCCCATCCACATATGTGTATTAACGTTTAAGTTTAAAGGATGTATATGGAGTTGAGTTTACTACTGAAATGTATCAAATAACTTATGCTGGACACTGATAGCTTACTGTATACAATTTTAAATTTCAAGTTGTTACTCATCGTAGACTGACATCAGTTGGAGGAACGAAGGTGACCTAGGAGCACTGGACAACTGTTTCGTCCTAGTATGGGACTCCTCAGCAGTGCATACCCACGACCCGGCCAGGGATCGAACCCATGATCTTCAGGTTCCGTGGCCAACCCATTACCATTGAGCCACTGGGTCAAAATCCAATGCTCCATATTTCCAACTTCTGTTAACTTCCTCAAAATTCAATTTTAAATTTAGTGTGGAATACGGAGTACCGCAAACCTTTATCCGCCTCATTCAACAACTATATGAAGATGCCACATGCCAAGTAATCCACAATGGGAAGCTCAGTGATGCTTTTGAAGTGAAGACAGGAGTGAAACAAGGTTGCCTACTATCCCCCATGATATTCCTTATTGTGGTGGACTGGATCATGCAACAAACAGTAGGCAGCGAGAAGAGGGGGATACGCTAGACGACGGAAAAGAACCTAGAAGATCTGGATTTCGCCGATGACTTGTGCCTGATGTCACACAAACTTGAAGATCTACAGGCGAAAACTAACAAGTTGACAGAAGAGGCAGCGAAGACGGGACTTCAAGTGAATATAGAGAAGACAGAGGTGATGAAGATACCGCACCACCACCACCAACAACAACAAAAAACTCCAATCACCGTCAACGGGAGAAACTTAAAGGAAGTAACCTCCTTCACCTATCTAGGAAGCACTGTCTCAACTACAGGCGGGACGGACGGGGACGTCAAAGTCAGAATCGGAAAAGCAAGACAGGCGTTCATTAGCCTGAAACCAGTGTGGAGATCTTCTGCACTAAGCATGCGGAACAAGATACGGATTTTCAACACCAACGTCAAGTCAGTGCTTCTGTATGGCTCAGAGACTTGGCGCGTTACGAAAGGGATTTCCAACAAACTACAGATATTCATCAACAACTGCCTACCCTGGCTCGCTACTGAAGATCAGATGGCCAGAAAGAATAAGCAACAAGGAACTCTGGGAACGAACCAACCAAGGACCTATCACGCAACAAATATGCAGGAGGAATTGGAGATGGGCATACACTGAGAAGGCCGACTGAGGACATCACGCGTCAGGCCAGTAGCTCGAGTGGAATCCCCATGGGAAGTGACGAGTTGGACGTCCGAGGTGAGGGTGACATGGAGGAGGTCGTGCGAGGAGGAAATGAGAGCTTCTGGGCTGTCGTGGAACCAGGTTCAAAAGATCTCAGAGAACAGAGGTCACTGGAGACGTGCTACTGAAGCCCTATGTTCCACTAGGAACCCAAGGGACTAATAATAATAATAATAATGGGAGATGTAGAGCACACGGCGTAAATTCGATTTACATTCTACAATGTTTGTTGTTCTTGCTTTACAATAACTTAAATCAATCAGTAAGAAAGGTCATTAAGTTATCAACATAAAGCATGAAAGATTATTTCACAAGAATAAAACTTCTTACTATCACTAATGCATTGGTGTATATCTGAACATTTCTGAATATCTTTTTCAATTGAACCTTCTTCTGAGCAAGGAATCATATCACTTGTTAATTTAACACCTTTGATCATTGTTTGTGACCATAATAAATGATCATTCATTGATTGAAATCGACATATTCGTGTACGATATATAATATTCTCATTAGTTATTGTTTTGTTATCCAGTGTACAGTGTTTATCAGGTGAACACCATTTCCATTTGGACCATTGTGTCCAAAATAAAGCAGACAATGTTGGATTCCATGCAGTAGCAGATAAACTACTAACAGATTGAAAACTTGAATCTTTTGGTAGTTGAAAGTTGAGTAGTTGCCTTAAGAGTAAATTTCCTAAACGGAGGATCAATTAAGAAAGATGCTTTGTCAGTATAAGATACGTTTGCTTGATTAGATTTTCATGGAATAATTAGTGAGTGAGTATTAGAGTTGGAATACAAAAGCAACTCTGCTCTCATGACATCATCTTACAGTTTTTCACTGAACCTTGTTGACTGGCTCAGAAGATCAAGATATATATTTTTTCGGGAACCTTCTATTGTATGAGTATAAATCTCAAAAAACGTCAGTATTTAGTGTTAGAACAGGAGCAGTTCGCCATATATATTTGAACTACCTAGAAAATATAATTAAATAAGGACGCTTATCTGTAGTAAAGCATAGAAAGAACGACCGCAACAGGCTGGATTCAGGAAGAACAAATCATGTGCACACCAAATTGCAACGTTTCGCATCATTATAGAACAGAGTATAGAATGGCAGTCAAACCTCTAACTCAACTTCATCAACTTTAAAAAGACCGGTCTACAACAGCGTCGAACGACAAAGTAATTTGGAAACTGTTTCAACACTACGGAATACCACATACCTTTATCAACCTCATTCAACAACTATATGAAGACACCACACGCCAAGTGATTCACAATGGAAAGCTCAGTGATGCCTTCGAAGTGAAGACAGGAAGCAGTAAGACAAGGCTGTCTACTACCACCCATGATATTCCTGAGTGTGGTGGAGTGGCCTGGATCATGCAACAGCCAACTGTGAGGAGCGAGAAGAGGGGGATACGCTGACTGAACCGGGGAAAAGATCCTAGAAGATTTGGATTTCGCCAATGATGACTTATGTCTAATGTCTTGTGGCATAAACTTGAAGATCTACAGGCGAAAACTAACAAGTTGACAGAAGAGGCGGGGCAGCAAACACCGTACTTCAGGTGAACGTAGAGAAGACAGAGGTGATGAAGATACCCAACCAACAACAACAACAACAACAGCAACAACAAGAAGCTCCAATCACTATCAACAGGAGAAACCTGAAGGAAGTAGCCTGCTTCACCTACCTATCTAGGCAGCACTGTTTCAACTACAGTCGGTGGCACAGACGAGGACATCAAATGCAGGATCGGAAAAGCAAGACAGGCGTTCATTAACCTGCAATCAGTGTGGAGATCTTCCGCACTCAGCATAAAGTGTGAACAACATCCGGATTTTCAACACCAACGACAGTCAAGTCAGTGCATCTATGTGTTGGTTCAGAGACCTGGCACCTTACGAAAGGCATTCCCAACAAACTACAGATATTCATCAACAACTGCCTATGCTGTCTCGTTACTGAACATTCATCAGATGGCCAGAATAATAAGAATAGGCAACAGGGAACTCTGAACTGGTAACGAATCAACCAAGAATCAATCGCTCAACAAATATGATGAAGGAAGTGGAGATGGATTGTGCATGCACTGAGAAGGCCGACTGGAGACATCACGCGTCAGACCATGCACTCGAGTGGAACCCAGATGTGGAACGACGAGTTGTGCGTGTGAGTGGTGGATGACATGGAGGAGATGATGTGAGGGAGGAAGAAATGAGAGCTTGTGGGCAGTTGTGGAGTCAGGTAGAAAGGATTGGAGAGAAGAGAGTGCACTGGAGACGTGCTACTGAAACCCTATGTTGCAGTATGGCCCCTAGGAACAATTAATTATAATAATAATACTAATAATATGTACTGAAGGTTACATATTTAACGAGGTTTTTAAAATAAGACTATTGAATATAACCTACTAGTCCTTTGTCTATTCATCTAAGTGACCTGAATTTTAGTATAATTCACCTTTATATTGGAATTATCACGGATAGTAAATTTAACAATCAATAGATTTTCATGCCTGCGAAATTTAATTTTGATTGAAATGAGAACAATATATCCTGCTAAAATTAAATTACCAAACTTTATTAATTAAAACGGTTATGGTTTGTCTTATACACTTTCAGCCAACAGCTGTTTCTAGATGTTATAGTAATCATATGGGTAATAAGGTGAAGAAAGCTTCATGAAGTATAAAATATTTGTTTAGTAGTTGACTGGTAGTGAATACCTTATTCTACAACCTGACTAATAATTGACGCTTGCTAAGACTCCTAGATAAGTCGTACATATTAACTTCAAAGTAGACGCAATAAGCCTTTACTATAACAAATTGAAGTCACTCAGAAGCTGTGCATTTCCGTGCAGCAGTCAGTGAACTACACCGGCTGTATATATGGTCTGTTCAAATCTCAGTAGGTGGGGCGGTGTCTAAACCAGTAAGCCACAGGTTGAAAGTCAACTCCCTAATCTTGTAGGGCACCTTCCTGGCATCAAAATACAACTAGGGCTAAAATAAATAGATTAAATTAACCAACTGCTCGCCTCCGGATGCTTTAGGTGTTTTAAGTTTTGTTTTAACTAGCATGAATCCAAGCAGGCTTCGACGCCATTTTGCGCTTCCTTAATGCTGTTTTGTACGCACGTACTCACAGTCCCTAGCTCAGCCATACTAGCCAGATAAGTTGATTAAACTTTTCCCCCATTCATTACTATTACATTTATTCTGATTAGATACATTACTTCTTCAAATATATTCCCGAACCAGTTCTTTTGATTTGTGTTTCGTTATCTGTACTTTCACGTTAGGTGAGGTACTGGTTAAGCAGGTACTAGAGCACATCAAGTTAAGTAGGGTTGATCAAACGTTACGGAATTGTAACACGCACCCCTACAAATTGGTGAGCCCGAGTATCACTTCTTACTTTGTCTAGTACCTTTTTTTTCTTGCTTTGATTTATCTGGCCTATTTTCTCGTTTTTGGCACGGTCTTGCGTTTTTTTTATTGCACTCCTCATTGGTTATTTTTGCATTGTAATTTTTTTTTATGGTCATCATCGTGCCTCTTTAATTCCCTTATCAATGGCGGATAATGACTCGACCGCGCAGATGGCCGTAACCCTCCAGCTTCCCACCTTCTGGGCCCACAGACCATTTGCATGGTTCTCCTATGTGGAAGCTCAGTTTGCCTTGAGACACATTCAATCACAAGAAACTAAGTCCAACTTAGTCATCGTCAGCTTACCGGAAAATGTGATCGAAGACGTCTCAGACGTGCTAGATGACCCAGCACCGAATCTTTACGATCGCCTCAAAACCGCCCTCATCAAACGCGTTGCACTTACTGACCAGCAGAAAGTGCAAGAGCTTTTCAGGAATGTGCATCTGGGTGAGTGTAAGCCCACGCAACTGCTTCGTTACACGAAGCAGCTGATTGCTGGCTTCAACATTGATGAAGCATTTCTCAAGCAACTGTGGTTACAGAGGTTACCACAGTCGGTTCAAGGGATCCTCGCACCCTTCCATAAGTGTCCCTTAATAGAGCTGGCGGAAGCGGCTGACAGAGCTGTGGACGCTACGAAGCCCAACACCAGTATCTCAGCTGCACTGTCTACTGCCACGGATTCGTCCAAAAACCCACATCTTCCCTCGGCTGGTGAGCCAACAAGTTTCGATGTTATAGCTCACATCTCGAAATTGTATGAGGAGTTGTGCAGCATCAGGAACGAAATGCGGTCTGGTAGTTCTTCCAATGGTCGCACGTCTAGCTAGCGCAACAGGTCTGCCTCCTGTACCGGTAGCAGGCGTTCCAAATCGCGACAATCCCAACCCAGGTTGTACTGGTACCATAAACGTTATGGTGTCAATGCCAAAAGGTGCACTCGACCTTGCACCTTCGAGGCTAACCAGGCAGGAAACGTGTGAGCCAGCATGTGACGGTGACTAACGTCGCTGGCGAGCCACTTCCATGTCGCCTCTTCTTCGTCACTGATCGACATTCTGGGATACGCTTCCTAGTTGACACTGGGGCAGAAGCTAGCGTCATCCCACCTACGAAGGAAGAGCGTCTGCGGCCAATGTCTCTGCAACTTCGTGCCGCTAACGGTTCGCCCATCACAACCTATGGTCGGAGATTCCTCGACCTCAACCTTGGATTGCGTCGTTCCTTCCGTTGGGTTTTCATAGTGGCTGGTGTATTAGCCCTATACAGTTTGGCTATCTTAGTTGAGAAGATAAAGCCTATGCTTCAACACAAACCTAAACTACATTTGAACGAGCGTAACACATCCCATTGTGTCTGTCAGTTTACATGTATGCGTGGATACATACATGAGGTGGAGCAATCGTGACTTGCAATTCAGAATGGTTGAACATGTATCTAAATGGCTGCAGAAACAAATAACCTCTAATGGTCTAAGAAGTGCAGGTGACAAACATCCTTCCTCATCGGTCGCAGAACACATAAGAAACTATTCCTAAGATTGATATAAACACAGCCTTTACTGTACTGTATAGATATGATCAAGGACGAGTACTCAGATTTATCGAAGCACTTACTTTCCATGAATTCAAACCCTTACAATGTCTTCAGAAACAATTTGTACTCACACTAAATCTGGTTGTATAAAGTTCAAATCTTTATACTATTGGTGATGGTGATTTGACCTATGCTTGTTATTTTCCTCCTCTCTTGTTTTCCTTCTGCCCCTGTTATCTTTCTTAATTATAATTCCATTGGTTTAATTAACTTCTCTGATTCATTTTAGGGGTTTGTGAAGATTTAATGATTTCAAGTTGGTATTCATCATGGACTGGCATCGTTTGGGGAAACATTGGAAACCTGAGGGCATCGGACGGCTGCTTCCTCTTAGTGTGGGACTCCTCAGCAGCGTGCACACATGACCCTACCCCACAGGGGATCGTACATAGAACCTTCAGGTTCCGGCGCCAATAAGTTACCATTGAGTTACTGGGTCGGAACCCAGCGGTCTATATTTCCTGCTTCTGTCAGTTCATGACATAGCGTGCCATCACCCAATGTCATCGTTCAGTATTTTTCCTCACGTCCACCAGGTTAACCTCACCGGGCTTCGATCCCTGGAGGGGTCACGGGTGCGCGCTGCTAAGGAGTTCCATACTAGAACGAAACAGCTGTCCAGTCCGTCTATGTCTCTCCAGGTGATGTC